GAGATTTCGACACGCAGCGTCTGCAACACTCTGAATTCTCATATCCATAAAACACATGCCCACAATCCCCCTAACACCCTCATTCATCCCCGCAACATGAAACGTCAAACCACCCCCCGCACTCAATCCATAAAGTGCAATAGGTCGTTTATCATTTTCATACTCATGATCAACAAACTCACTCGCGATGTTAACCCACTCCTCATAATCCCAAACATGGCCCTTTTTAGGAACTGTGCAGCCGTAGCCTGGCATGTCGATAGCGACGAGTTCAAAACCTGCTTTGTGCAGAGGCACGCCGAGAAGCATTGACATCATGCGTCCGTTTGTTCCCATGCCGTGATGCATTATGAGTCTGACGCTGGCGGAGGGGTTGCGCCATCTGTCGAGATGGAGAGCGTGGCCGCGGTGATGCCATACTTCTTCAGTGGGAGAGTGATCGGGTGTGAAGTGGAGGCGTTGGGGTAGGAAGGATTGGATATCTTTCCATTCTTGTTGTTTGGCGTAAGTTGGAAGCTCAGACATTTTGATGTGAGTATTGATGATGATGGTATGTAGTCTGCTTATCTGGTGAGATTTGGTTACTTATACCAAGTCCTGCGGTGCATCTATGAGCCGAACGGAGTTCCGCAAGAAAGCATCTGAACATAAGCGTAGGTGCCAAAAACAATTAGCCTCAAGTCAAGTAAACCCATGCTAAATTTACCTAAATCTTTTTGTCACTTATAATAGAGCTCCTAAGTTTTCTTGTCTCCCCTTGCCGCTTAGGGCCTTTTCGTAGTGTGCGATTCGCTGACGTGAGAAATCGACGGAGTTAAGATATTCGCACTCGGCTGAAATCGTGTGGCAGCCGCCTTTCAAGAGATCCAATTACAGGGAACAAGAATGTCTAAGGCAACATATATGGTATAAGCTTAGTAGATACCGAGACAAGCAATTCTTCTTAATGTAACCCATTCTTCAATATGCTTGTGCTGACTTCTCATTCGACCGGGGGAAACCCTTTTCATTATAGACTTGTCATAGTAAGCACCATATCTGATGCGACACGTAACAGCTGGCAGCCCCTAGCCGTAGAGACTCGTTGTCATTGGTCATGAAACTGTTGTGAAGTCGCTCTCGGATGTCGGAATCTCTAATTCGGCATGTGCCTTGGGCCGAGACCTTAAGGACTGATTGCCAGGATTGGCCAAGTTCAGATGAAAGGACCAATATCAATGGTGGGACAAGTTTCCTTGTCCAAGGTGATACTGCATGAGTTAAAAGATATTTGTCCGGTGGGGGTATGGTGTCATTGACCAATTGAGTTGATGCTTGAATGCTCACCGATAAATTATAACACTATCAAGACATGAGCAATGAAGAGTCAGTGACTACGGGTTTTTGGTGTATCCTAGATTTATAGCAAGTCATGGAATGGAGATGAGCTGTCTTGAGTGCCCGATAGTGAGCTTTATCAACTCAGACAAGGTTCAATCTCACTGGTCTTATGATCAACGACAACGCCCCCGAAACCGATGGTCATTCGCGTATGCAAGAAGGTTGCATCGTCAAAAGTGTTGCAACAGGGTGACATTTCCCTGCTGCAGTGTATGAAACGCCACAAGGATGAGGAATAAGGTTATCAGATCAGCCAACTTAATCGCGAGTGTCGCAGACTACCCTGCAGGCATCCAATTCCGCTCGCACTCCAGTTTTGCCAACGCGCCGACCTCCAGTTCCTCCCGTCAATGGAGCGGGTGTGTAGAGTGATGACAAGTGGGAATTACATGATGATTAGTCACCATTCCATGCTGTGCGAAAGAAACTGTCGCTGAAATCGCCAAGGTGACGTCGGACCACTTCTCGCCTTACAACAGCTTGACAAGCTTGGCATCAAAAGGGCGCCGAACACGGATCCCGTACTTACGGCTTACCTTCCTCCTCCAGCCATAAGCTCCAACGGTCTCGGACATTTAAATTACAGGAATAACCATAAACCCGCCTCACCCCAATCCACCAACCATTTCTCACCCGCTAACTTCACGCGTTACGCAAGGATCTTCACGCGGCCCGTAGCATAGAACATTCCCAGAAGGATTTTTTTTCCATCCTGGTTTTCATCATGTCACCCAACTCCACCGTCAACCTCCGATCGGAACATGAATGTGGATTTCGCGTATGTAAAAACTGTAGAATGCCCAGCTTTTTCGGCTCCATTTTCTACGTAAAAGAAATACCAAAAACACGAGTAGGGGGTCCACTGTCAGATGTTGTTTTTGAACTGAGCTGATTTAAAATCAAGGCTGACATAACCTTAAAAACTTCCTGCAAGAATTTTAAACTTTTAGGTTCCTCGGTAGAAGGTAGGCTTGTAGTGGCAATAGAGCGAAATGAATGTCGTACGGAGTCGAGTCCGGATATTCGGACATACGTAATGCTCCACCGGCTGCAAAATTGAAGGTTGACGGAGGCAAAGGCCCCACTATTCCGGTGCTCCATCCGGCGGATCTGCCGGGGTGGCCGAGGACCAATCGGCAGGCAGGTATCTACAAAACCTCAGCATCTTGAGATTACCTACCTTCAAGCTCTCATCAAGGGACCTTCCTATCCTGTGTTACAGACGAGGTTATCACGTAATGAACTGAGCGAGTTGTCTTCCCCCACGGGGTCTACGACAAGCTCTCCTTTTGAGTAATTCCAACTCTTGTAATGCTACAGCTGTAATTGGGCAAACCCGGACCCTCGGAGCTCATTTTCCCCATCGAACCACCAAAAATGTACATCATAGCTCCCGCCACAACCTCCGATCGGAGGTCTTTCGGCCTGGGGTATAACATAATAAAAGGGTGATATATGGAGAACTACGGGCCGCTAATAACGTCAAGTCTGCCCACGAACCTTCCATTGACTTTTCCTTTTCACCTTCTACCTCCTTTCCCAATTCACTGTCCTCCAGCCTCCATCGTCTCACAATTGGAAGTCGGTAGCTACGCAGGACCGTAGCACTTCACAATGGGCATCATGAACTTTTCAAAAAAGCCCGCTGAGCCTTCACCACTGACAAACAACCCCCCCGAGTCCAGCGCCTCAGACACAGAGCCTCCAAAAGATGACACGGATTTCCAAGCCGTTCCTGCTGGCACTGAGGAAAAGGGCAACATCTTCGATCAAGGCGGGAAGAATTACAGAACTCTTGGACGATGGGACACGGTCCTAATCCTCTTCACGAACCAACTCGGTCTTGGAATCTTATCCCTCCCCTCAACGATAAAAACCCTCGGAATCGTGCCCGGCATAATCGCAATCCTCGGCATCGGCGCGCTATCGTGGTACGCCGCGTACGAACTCCTCCAATTCTACCGCAAACACCCCAATGTCGTCAGTATCGTCGAAATGACCCGCATCGTCGGCGGCGCATGGTTTGAGTCCTTCGCTGGCTTCGTCATGATGATCCAAGTTGTCTTCATCGTCGCCTCAGCTACAGTGACTCTATCCGTTGCGCTGAATACGCTGAGTAGTCATGCGACGTGTACTGTTATCTGGATTCTCGTGGCGTGTATCGCGTGTTATCTTTTGTCGATACCACGAACGATGAAGTTTGTTTCAAAGGCGGGAATTCCCAACGCTGTTAGTGTCGTGGCGGCTTGTTTGATCGTTTTGATCAGCTTGGCTGTTTCGGGGCCTGCGACTGCGCCTGAGGGTTGGCATAAGGAGATCAAGGTTGTTGGAAACCCTACGTTTCGCGATGGTCTCAATGCGTGCCTGAGAGTTGTGTTCTCGTACGCTGGCACATTCACATTCCCGTAAGTTCGCCCTTCCACCTTCAATTGAGGCTAGCTAACGCTGAATAGCTCATATATGGCCGAAATGCGAGATCCCGCAAAAGACTTCCGCTTCGCCCTCGCAGTCCTCGAAATCGTCAGCACCCTCTTCTACATCGCCATGGCCGTCGCCCTCTACTGCCTCGCCGGCGATCTCACCACATCCCCTGTCCTCTCCGCCGCATCCTCCATCCCCGCAAAGGTCGCCTACGGAGTCATCCTCCCAGCCGTCGTAGCAACAGCCCTCTCAATCGGCCACACAGGCTGCAAATACGTCTACGTTACCGCAATGCGACAAATGCGCGCAACCCATCAAGTCACCGACAACAGCATCAAGTCTTGGGTCACATGGATCTTGTCAGTCACAGGATTTTGGGTTCTGATCTTTGTCATCTCGAACGTCATTCCTATCTTTGACTCGATTCTGTCGATTACGGCTGCTACGACGATTCCTTGGTTTACGTATGGCTTTGCGGCGATTTTCTGGCTGCATCTTAACAAGGGTCTTTATTTCTCGACGTGGCAGAAGGGGTTGCTCACGGTGGGAAATGTTGTCATGATTGCACTTACGCTGTTTATGAATGCAGGTGGATTATGGGCGGCTATCACTGAGCTGCTGGATCTCTTTGCTAATAACAAGGATGGCATTGGAGGAGTTTTCTCATGTGGAGATAACTCCATCTTCTAATAAATGTTATATAGATCGCAAATAGACTATTGATTGTCCATGTTATCTTTAAAACTGGTCAATGCCTACCAGATGTGAATATGTCAGCATTTCTCACGACACCTCCTCAATTATATGTGATCAAGAGTCTTGTCGATATCACCAGCCATAGCCACATATCGTGTTATTTCAAAGCTTAATAGCATTCATTCTGTGAGCTACCAAAATAACAAAGGACCATAAGCTGTTCTCATAGTTCTGCCATCTTGACAAACCGCTTCATTGGCGAGTCTTATCCTCACACCATCGGAGATTTCCTTGTTGGCCTTTCGAGTTCAATCCTTCTCGCATTCTCATCTTTTTAATCCCAAGACGACCAAGCTCTCATCTTCCGTCTCCCATCTCACATACCGATTATTTTCGCCAATGTTAGTTGAAGATAGGGCAACGAAGGCCCTTCATCCGTTTCCTCATGGTAGCATGAATTCAGTCATTCTTGCTCACGGCCCCAGGGCCATCCAGCCATCTCATTAAAGTCGGTTGGCGGGATCCTCCAGCGCTCGACGCACCATATCCTTCATCTCTCCGTCGGTGAGGATGTGGGCCTTGTCCTCCAAGGGCATGCTATGGTAGCCAGGAAGACCATCAGGATCAGCATGCAACCGAACACGACCCATGACGCGAAGCTTACGGAGCCACTCCATACGTCGATTGACTTGCCGATTCCAAGTGGCAGCCTCCCCTTTCTTGATGTACCTTTCTGCTAGGAAACCGCAGGGAAGAGTGAAGTCCTGAAACTCATGTGTCCAAATAGTGCCTGACTTGAGCGAATCGCCGAGCTGTGATGTAGGGCCGTTGGCTGCGGCGTCAAAAAAGCCTTGAGGCCATGACTTAGTAACTTCCTGTTGGTTATGAAGGAGATTGAGGTGTGAGATGGCACTTGGCATGGTGATTTCTCGGCGATGGACCTTCGTCTGGCGATGCAGTGATGTGCTGCACTGTCACCAAGGGCCCCTGAGATGCTGTGCATCTTTCCAAGAAGGACTATGCTCGCAAGTAGGAGACAGATATCAACTCTGTTATATCTATACCCTAACTAGTATCCAACACTAACAGGGAGCCTTGCTGGCAGTGATTCAGAGTCCTGAAACACATACTTATACGCTTTCTGAATATCGTCCCCTAAGTACGTACCAAGGTTGTTCTTATCCACTTCGCCAAATCTACGCCTTTCACCAAGTGTCTCAGGAGCCTCTTCGATCCATGGCTCAGGATGTTTCCACGTTGTATCACTACTATCAGGCGTTACCCCATGGACTGTAGAAGTTTCTTGAGTTACGGTGTCAACTTCAGAATAGCTCGTCTGCGATCCAAATTGCGCACTGCTGTTGAGCCACTCTTCTAGAGGTGGCGGAGGACCTGGCTGTGGACTGCCTGGTGGTGACGATCTTCTCTTGCCAGTGGGTATAGGAACATCTTGCGGCGACGGTGTACCGTGTGGGGGCAGGTCCAGAGATGGCGTTGGATTTGTGCCCCTAATGCTTCGGCCCCGCAAGCGTGCTGGCTTGGGAGGCTTGTAAAATCGCCGAGATGGTCCGCATGGGGGTGGCCCTTGGGGGTAGTCCGAGGCCTCTTCTAAAGCCTCTTCATGGCCAAACTGCCTCGCACTCGGAAACGGATTAGGAGCTGTGGTGAACGGGTCTGGTCGAGGCCGGACATGTCGACGATAGTATTGACCCCGTGGGGAGCGATGCATCAAAATCTCGTTGTATGGAGAGTGCATCAGTCTGTCCATGACAGCATCAGCTATCTGGTCAACCAAATCCTCAATACGCGAGGTATCGGCTCGTTGCTGCTGTTGTCTTTCAAACATGTTCCGTCGAGAATCTCGTGCAGGCTCAGAAGAATGCTGAGCCTTTGTCCCAGCTCTGCTTGGAGTCACCTCATCATCACTTTCAGAACCGGAGGCCCATGGATCAGGGACTTCAGGATGTTTGCCCTTCCATGAAGGAGTCGGTGAAACACCTGGGAGCTTGACTGAAGCGCTGGAGGCAGAGCGTACAGTTGAGACAGTGGCGTGTCGGGGCTGTGTACTTGATCGAGGTACAGAGAGCTGGCCTTTCTCTGTCCGCAACACGCTTCTCTCAGCATCTGCTTCGTTCCGAGTCTCTATCAGCCAGCCTTGTCTGTCTTTTGATCCAATGGATTCTCCATCTGTGACCAAATCATGAAGGACTCGCTTCTTGGTTAAACTCACGATCTCATCCATGCTTTGGATCATCTTCAATTTCGCGAGCCTTTCAAGGTCTTCACTTTGCTTTGCCTTTGCATCTCGTTCGGCAAGTTCAGCTCTCTTCTCCATCTCGACTTTCAGTCTTACTTCCTTCTCAAGATTCACTGCAAATTCATTGAATTTCTTTGATCTCTCCTCTTCTGCTTCACGTTCAGCCCGCAGTCTCTCAATGGCAGCTCTCTCAGCCTCAGCCATGGCTCGGACATGTTCTTCTGCCCGCTTTTCCTGTGCCTGTCTTTCCATCTCCATCCTCTCCTTTGCGGCCTTCTCCGCCTCAAGTCTAGCTCTGTCGATTTCCTTCTTGGCGTCCTCTTGGGCGAGCCTCATGTCCTCCATTCTTTGGTAGAAGGCTTCCTCGGCTTCCTTTCGGATCTGAGCCTCAGTTTCCTTTTGCTTCTCAGCAGTTTTGGCTTTCTCTTCCATGGCCTTGAAGGCGGCTAGTTCAGCTTCTAGGCGAATCTTCTCGGGATCATCTCTAGGCTTTTCTGTAGGCGGCGGAGGAATAGGAGGGTAGTCCATCGATATTGGAGGATAGCCCGTCGGAATTGGAGGAGCAGGTTGTTGGCGTTGAAAGTAATTAGTGGTGTTGGCTGGTTGGTATGGATAGGCACTTGGCTGCATGTTATTGCCAGACACTCCAACACCCTGCATGTTCGGAGCCATAGGATACTGTACGTTGTAAGAGGGATATGATCTAGGACTATACATTCCGCCTGGCCTATATCCTTCTGTTGGCTGATAACTTGGATGTTGTGGTTGAGCTGGTGCTTGACCCGCACCTTGGTATGTATACTGATGCTGAACTAAGGGGTGACCACCTAGGCCAGCGTTACTCCAACCTTGAGACATATCCTTCGTATTGTGATGCTTTGGCAGATCTGTGTCACGAGCAGTTGACGATGTCGACGGATTCTCTGGGGCTGCAGAAGCTGAAGCACTATCGGATGGTTGAATCTCGTCTTCGTCATCAAACCAATCACCAGAGTCATCACTGTAGTTCTGCTCGTTGTTTTCGGAAGAAACATCTGTCTCCACTGTTGTCCTCTTGCTCGAGGGACGCTGGCGTTTGAAACGGACTGGGCCTGATGGTCTTTGTTTGAGCATGATATTGGACAATCCTCCCAGGAGCTTGCACTAAAGATTGGGGCAACTTGACAGTAGAATAGCGGTGTGATCTAGCAAGTTAACAGGGGGAATGAGATGGAAAAAGATGTTGTTGAATAGAAAGAAGGTAGCGCAGAGTTGCCTTCAGAGATTCCTCTAAGACCTCAGGGCAGGCTGGGAAGGTTGCAGCGGCAAGGCAGTTTCAACCCCCCTGGATGGTCTCACAACGGACCTTTGTCCTGTTCAGGCGTTTCTTGGCGTGCGGCTGAGTATGCACCAAGTAAGCATTGCAGAATGACCTGCCTTTTGAGCGTGTCAGAAGACTTCAGAATATAATTCCAAGAGACGAAAAAGCTTGGACAGTTCTAGGTTAATTTAGAATAGATTTTGATGAGCTCAGTGAGCTTTTTGATTAGATTGTTTCCGACCCTTAATTCAGAGTCTCAAGTTTTCTGCCTTTTAAGCGCCGGGGTTTCCGGCCCCCACGTTTGGCCTCCCAGGCCTCCGATACCAGAGCAGGGATCTGTATAACCGACAGACTTAGTGCTTATGCCTATGTCTCAGCCTGATTCCAAGCACACAATTGTTCTTACAACCGAGACAGAAACAGATAGACGAGTCAAAAGATCTTCCATGCTTCCAATATCCAAAGATTGATGGTTGGCAGACGTATGAAATGGCATCAACAATATCTGGAGGGTCAAAGCCTGACATTTCAGCCCAGAATCATGCATCGGGATGTCAGTATCTGGGCCCTGGAGATGGAGACCAAAACGTGGTGAGCAGTAATGGCGTTCAGTTCAACGATCGTAGCGATCACCGACAGTACACTACATTTGCACTCAACCTGCAAACAGATGTTCAAGGAATCCCATCTGTCTGGAACCTGGCTCAAGCCCTGAGAGCATCCAAGACTGAGCCGAATGAGCCAACCGGTAAGTTATACAATGGCAGTACAGGATGGGCACTAACGTTCTGAAGCAACCGTCTTGATTGACTGGTTGATGCGCCAGGCTGAATGCTCCCCTCTGGACGTTAATCGTCAGCACCTTGAAATTGTTAATCAGGCGACACCGGACACTGGTAAATGGATACTTGATAACCAGGAGATACAACAGTGGCAGGCCCCTTCTATCACGTCTCATCGCTGTCTTGGAATCCACGGGATTCGTGAGTTATACCATAAAGCTAATAAACCATGGGACTCATGCTAAAGACGCTGCTGTGAAGTGGGATCCGGAAAGACAGTGCTTGTGTTCGTTCCCATCTACTCGCTACCAAAGCCCAAGCTTACAACTCAGGTCGCTCATAATAGATGCCATAAAAGCTGATATCAAAGAGAAGAGTGATACTGCTTGCATCTACTTCTACTTTCACGAGGGAGATGATAAGTCGCCTCCAGCTGCCCGAGTATGGTCAACGCTGCTTCTCCAACTTCTACAACATCAAGGGACTACAGATCTCGCTCAAGATCTGAAATCCAAGTATAACAACTCATTTCGTGGTACAGCTCCCATTCACCCAATAGAATACTTCAATTTGTTCAAAGCGCAGGCCTCGAAGTTTAAAATAGTCTACCTGATTATTGATGCTTTGGACAGCTGCACAAATAGTGAGGGAGAAAGAACTCGACAGAGAATGCAAGAAGCGCTGAGAAAGTTGCCGCAGAATATTCGAGTTCTCTTTACTTCGAGAAGTGACTCCCTTATACGCGACCTTGGAATTAGTCAACGACTACATATAACACCACATGAGAGCGATATAAGAAGATATGTCACAGACCAGATCAACAGGGACTTGGAACTTCATCGAGTATTGGCAGATGCAGCTTACCAAGATGAAGTGATTACTAGGGTTACTGAGCTGACTTTGAAGAGCGGAATGTAAGTTGGGGGGATATTACCCATTCGAGTATGAAGACTAAGCAATCCTAGGTTCCTTCTAGCCAAGCTTCACCTACATGACCTCAGTAACCAGGGTACCTTGACAGATATCAAAGAGGCTCTTAAACAACTACCTGCTTCGTCATCACGCGCCTTCGAATCGTCTATTCGAAGGATTCTTTCCAGTGACAATACCTTCGAAACCGAACTAGCCAAGCACGTTTTTACCTGGACGGTAAATGCCAAAGTTGGCCTGACCGTGGATCAAGTCCGTGATAGCTTCGCCATACAGAAAAGTCAGGGAAATCAATACCAAGACTCACGGCCACCGACAGATGCAATTCTGTCTTCCTGTGCTGGCTTGATAGTGGAAGATCACGAAACAAAGACTTTAAGACTTGTGCACGAGTCACTGAAGAATCACCTACAGAGACATGAAGTCTTCTATAAGCACCCGGACTTGACAATAGCCAAGATATGCTTAACGTCTCTTTTGCTGAAAGGGTCTGGTCCGTTGCACAGCCCACTTCTCGTCTACTCTGCAACTTATTGGTGTTCCCACATTTGCAAACCCTTCGACTCAGAGTTGCAGAAACTGGTAAAGAGATTCTTGTCAGACAATGTCAGTCTGACTAGAGCGTTCAGGTTGATTCCAGGAGTCTCGGGCGGTAACTTTGATGGGATGACCGGGTTACACGCGGCGGTATACTTCAATCGCCTCACATGGATCAAACGCCTTCTGAAATCCGGCATAGATATCAATTCTAGATGCTCAAACGGCCAAACGGCTTTGCACTGGGCGGCAATACATGGCAGACACAAGCTTCTAACCTACTTGGTCCAAAAGTCTGCAGATACCAACATTCAGGACAAGTCTGGTGATACAGCTTTGCACAAGTTACTCATGGGACCTACCACCGAGGGCTTGCGAGCTGTCCGCTCTCTTATCCGTGGAGGCGCTAGGATCGATCTCAAAGGGAGCAAGGGGCTAACGCCTTTATCATCTGCTATTCGTTATGGCCCGACTTCGATAGCTCTTCTGCTGATCAAAAGCCAGAAAGATGTTAATGTTGAGGTTACAGCAGGATGGACTTCGCTGAGGGAAGTCTTTTATCATGCTCACGAGATGATTCATAAGTTGAGCCATAATAATAGCTCTTCTGATGACGGATGGACGCCTCTCAGAGACGCAGTGAGGAATCACGTCTACTGCCTGATACACTTTCTCCTGAACAGAGGTGTGGATCTCAATCGCCCTACGAGTGATGGGTGGCTACCAGTGCTCCATATCGTTAAAGGTGGAAGCTCAGTAGTCCTCCAACGTTTGCTAGAGCGGCAACCAAACCCAGCTGATGCCAATCAACGAGATGTAAAAGACGGGAAATCTGCTCTTCATTGGGCTTTTTATTACAAACAACACTCTGCGATCAGATTGTTAATAGAGCACGGAGCAAATGTGAACGAAAAAGACCCTGAGGGATGGACACCGCTCATCCAGGCTATTTGTGAGAAGAACGAGGACTTGGTCTGGCTACTCATCAAAAAAGGCGCCCAGGTCGATCAGAAGGATGCAAAGGGGTGGCTACCTCTGCACTACGCCATTGAGTTCCGGAGCACTGGCGTAGTCTGGCTTTTGATATTGAATGGAGCCGATGTGAAGCTCAGGCACATCAACGTCCCCAGTGTTCTTGATCTGGCACTGCAAAAGGCTGAATATTCTTTTGCATGGCTGCTCTGTCAGCATGGGGCCGATATCAATGAGGTGGATGAGAAAGGCATGACTAGATTGCATCGAGCTTCTTATAGCGGACGGGTGAAGGACGTGGAGTTCCTCCTTACGAATGGCGTCGAGCCTGGGATGAAGGATACGGCTGGATTCACTGCACTCCACTATGCAGTGCTGGGAGGCTCGGAGGCGGTAGTGAGGCTTCTTGCATCAAGATGTTCTCTGAGGGAGGTCATTGACGAGCCTGATGTCAAGGGCAACACAGCGTTAATACTCGCAACCTTACGACGAAATAAGCCCATGGTGCGAGCTCTCGTTGACAATGGGGCATCTCTCGAACTTCAAGATTCAGCTGGCGTGACGGCACTCCATCATGCTGCCAGGCTAGGTTTTGAGGGTGGCGTCAAATTGATCATCAATCAATCTCTGGATATCAACATGCCGGACAAACAAGGATACACGGCTGTCCATCATGCAGTCAACAGCACCGAGGCGAGCAGCCACACGATTAGGCTGCTCAAGGAAGCAGGAGCGGACTTGGACGTACAGGATCATGCTGGGCTCACACCGTTGATGTTAGCAGTTCATCTCGGAATGTTCCCTGAGGCGCGACAGCTTTTGTCCCAGGGAGCCGACCGCCATGTGAGGAATGCACAGGGTTGGTCAGCGATCGATGTGCTTAAATCTCCAGGGCACCAGAGTAGGAAACATGATCAGATCAGAGTTTGGCTTGAGGAATCATCCTCAAACTCTTCTTTTGAAGGTTCGAATTCCGGATATGGACTGTATGGCTATGACGATTATGATGCATTATAGAAGTACCTAACACAATTCTCATCACTTGTATACCAGACTTCCATCTTGATCAATAGATCATGTTTGCGTAAAATTGAACGTTCCGCCATGAAAGTTCCCGTTAACCTGCGTGGCCGTATTACTTGCAATGTTCTGATCTCCCTGTCCTGTATGAACATACTGCTTCCCAATCCCAGTATTATTCAGCACCATTGATGGCTCCCTGCCCACAGTTCTATCCATACCCATACCCATCAATTCTTTAATCTGCTCTCTCGTAGCAGCCTTCACAACATGATTCAGCGTGAGAACCTGCAAATCCCCAAGGATCCCCTCAACCAGCACATTGGCTTTGTCAATCTGGGGGAAAGACTTCACAGCCCTAAGATATCTATGCGTTCGTGTCGCTCCACTTGGGGGCACCATGGCCTCGAAGATATGATGGAGCTGCGTTGCTTTGTCGCTACATGCTCGCAGAACGGCTTCAAGAGCAGCGTAGGATTCTGGTGGATGAGAGTCTTGTTGGATGCCGTGAGCGGCTATCGTGAGGCTCTCTTGTATGAGGGGGAGGCGAGACGCTGCATCTCGAAGTGATGGGGGTAGACCCGAAGAGTCCTTGGCGGTCTTGTACAGAGTGATTGTAGCCTCGATAACAGTAATGGCGCCGGAAATGATGCCTAGAACCTCTGCTCCCGACATGGTAGTATCTCATCTGCTTTAATCCCGCAGATGAGTCAATGATGCGGAGGGGTGCTGTGACTGGGATGAATGAATGTTTAACCCTGTCTAGCAGCAGTGATTTGCAACCTGGCTAGGCTGGGACTGTAAGGCTTTTTGCCGAGGGTTGAAAACCTCTGTAAATCACAAACACAATAGGATTATGCCTTGTCCTTTTCAGAATGGCGTTGTGCCCGAGTGGGGGTATTTATGCAGTCAGCATGCAACCCCCTCGTCACGCATGCAGCCCTCTGCAGAGAGCAAGGAAACTCCATACTTGTCAAAAACAAGTAGTCAAAAGATCGTCTAAACTCATCCTAAAATTACCGAACTTTTTATGTCGTTTAGGATTGAGTTCCTGCCTTGAGAGTCAGCGACTCGGGGATAGCACCTAACCCTTGCACCGAGCGCTTATGCCGCCAAGTCTTATGCGGTGGCTGAGCTGCAGAGGTTTCCTTTTATTGAGGTCCAGCATGAATGTCACTCCATCGGCAATCTCCCATCTGAAAAACCGTCGAGATTACTTTTCAAGTCCCAATAGCCCAACTATCAGCAATCCTACCGTATCAATAAATTTCACTCCAGATAACAAGCGGCTCAACCGAAAATGTCAAACCCAGAAGTTAGCAAACAGCAAGCCCTGAGGGCTCTTGAGACGACAATTTTCGTGCTTGGTCAGGCGATAGAATCATGCTGCATAGCCGAAAGTGCTCCGGATATCCCCAAAGCCTTCTCTATAGTGGCAAAGCATCTTCCAGCTGTCGAGCAGGTTTTCAGCTCAGCCCGAAATCACTTAAAGTCGAGCAAGGAGGAAACAGAACAGGTGAAAGAGCTATACCCGGTCGTAAAGCATGTCTCAGACGAGGGCTGTGGACAAGTACGATTCATTGAGAATCTTTTTGACACAGTTACACAAGATGGAGAGAAGATGGAGCGCTATGCCTCGGCGGTCAAGAATGGCGATGGGAAGAAAGTCGAGACGATAATGGTAGAGCTTCTCACCAACGCAAGCCTCGTGGCAGTCGAGCCTCTCGTGAGCCAAGACGATATCAACTCTTTACAAGGAGCTTTGGAAGAAATGAAGAAAGTCCCTCCTTCCTTGGAAGAGGATCGGAGTGCAGGGGTAGTATTGAATAACAGTGGATCGGGCAACCAATTTTATCACGGTGGAAGGGGGAATCAGAATCATTGCTCTGGTGGATTTCAGGTGAACGGGGACAACCAGAATGCCAAGTATACGTACACGGAAAAGTCGAAGGCAGACGATGAGTCATGATGCGACGGGTTGACGGAACAAACCATCTGTAAACGAACAGGGAGGTATTAAGATAAACAAGTGATATAAATCAAGAAAGGGAAATGGAGGGATCCCCTGTTTAATTGTTGTCTACACTATATCAGAACCACCACGTTGAAGGTGCGTTCGTTGACGATTCGGGCTTCCAGCTCTGCGGGATCTCAATGGTTCTACTCTCGGTTGACGCCATGTCGAACTGAGGTAGCTTTAGCTAGGAGCTCAAACATGACTCTGAAGTAGATCGTAGCCTCGAACAAGGATTCCTGGACTTGGTGAACCACAGGAGTTATTGAGGCGGATGGCCTTTCTCGTAGTAACTTGTTGCGATATGTACATAGGGTGGCGCGCATCCTGCTCGTGAGTCAGGTATTTTATTTGTAGGTGAGTCCTGGGGTTGAGAGCTTGTAAGGATCACATATACCTTGGTCAAATCGCCATGCTTCCCTGACAGCATGGATCGCTGAGAACACAGGTTTTTGGCATCCCTATTACAGCTTTCTGGGTCGTGGATAACTTTCGAAATCGCGGAAGATCTTGACCCTTGACCTTAACGCTCATCTAGGCCAAATTATTTGCTTTTAGGTGTGAAAAGATTCTAAGTTTTGTGTGCTGATATAAGCTCTTAGCCACGGATCTCAACTTGTAAATAACACATCTGTGAAAAGATTTAAGACTTCAGTTCTAAGCGACAAAGTTCTTAGATGAGTTTAGGATAAACTTTGATGAATGTACTAAAGTCTTTGACTAACTTATTTTATTTTCTACACTGATTCAGAATCTTGGGCCTTTGGCCATTACGTAGCCTGCCTCCCTCTCGAGCGTTGAGAATTCCCGCTCCCACGTTTGGCTTTCTCCGTTAGCTGGCATCCATATTATGGGTCGTTAGGTCTTGGATACTGCGGGAGATCTTGAGCATATATTATGCTGGTTCCTTATCATTATGAATGGAAAAAGGTCGACATCTTCCCCAACGTTGCCTCTGTTATACTGTCCGGTGGAGGGTTAGGTGCTAGTTGTGGTGGCAGTTACCATGGCCTAGTTTGAATTGTGAGCTTGATATGTTTTTTTCAGTTGAAACTTGCGGCAGAAAGCTTATATTACCACATATATCTTAGAGATAGGGAGGTCTCGGGTCTCGAAATCATGGGTCTAGATAGTACCGTAAGCGCTGTTGGTTCCACATAAACTCGCATGGCCATCGATAGAAGGGTTTGAAGGAATCGATTTACGCATGGTAAAGTCAAGCCCTGGAACGAAAGCTGTGGAATGAGTGTTGGCATGCTGATGATAAGGGTAGGAATTTGCTGTTGGCGATAAAATGGAAGACCCAAAATGCGGAGATCTGGCGTCCCTGTCATGGCCTGCTTAGTCTTCGATAGCCTTGGATGCTGTTGGAGGTCTTGAGGGTGTGTCATAATAGTTCCATTCATCATGAATAGGAAGAAACTGGCACATTCTCTAACAGGGAACCTTTCATACTTTTATAACTAATATAATAAGTTAATCTTATAATCTTTAGTTATTAAGTATAAGTCCTTAATACTAAGTAAGATATATTTTTTATTAAATATATTAGAGGCTAAATAAAGATATTAAAAGACTTAGCTAATTGCTAATTACTAAAAATAAAATTATAATATATAAATATAGTAGTAGGCCTTTATTAATAGTATTATATTAGGTAGTAATAATAGTATATATTAAATATAGTTTATAGAGTTAAAATATATAATTTAATTTACTATATTATATTATTATAACGGGTTGGTTCCTAACTGTGGATAAACTAAGCCATACTAGGTTTATTATTAGCAGATTATATAGGGCGTAATACTAAGCTTATTAAAGTATTATATCTCTTAATAGTAGATTTAATGCATATTAGGCTTGATTAATATAAAGAAGTTTTATTAATAGCTGGTAAGCTAGAATCTATAAAAGTGTAAATAAATATGGTCTATATATTAGATATAGTTCTATGGGAATGACGCAGTATAAGATTGCTGTTAGTCCTAGAGCGATATGGTCCTAGAATGCTATTGGTCCTATAAGTGTTAGTCCTTTCCTGATTGGTGGGTTAAGTAGAGAAAATTATAGGGTATATATAACATAACTGCTAGGATTATAACACGATCTTTCCCCTCCGGTGGTCTTGCCTCTAAGGCCTGTTATCCTAACTAATATTATTCTTCTTTTAGTAAGGTCTAACTTAAACCTTTTATTATTATATCTTGCGATATCTAACTGTATTTCTAAGTAGTTATCCTGCAAGGATTATAAAATCTAGATACTTATGCTTTCTATTAAGTTTATTAATAAAGAAGCTAATATGCCTTATACTTATTGTTTTTAGGCAGGTAAGAAATATCTAATATCTGCTGATTCTGCTTATTGCAGTGAATGTATTTAGGCTAAGAAGTCCTATAATAACATCTATATTGCATCTTCTTATGAGTTATTATATGTTATTTTATTTTTTCTCTTTATTAACTTTAGTAGTTATAAATTTAATAAAATAAGAAAAGAAATTAGAAAATAATAAGGATAAAGTAAGTAAGGATCTTCTTAAACTTTATAAGGAAATAGCAGCGCTATAGTCTTATTTAGCTCTGGCTGCTAGTTATTTATTATAGATTCGTAAAATCTATAATTATATAAAAGAAAAACGGTCTAAGGCTACTTATTATAGCCTTCAGGAAGTAGATTAGCAGGATGCGATCTTATCTGGTTTAGATATGCATGAGGACGCATTACTTCGAGATCTCTAAGTAGACTATATTCCTAATGATATTAACTAGTCTACTCTAGGTTTAGGTAATAATTTTCTTAATGCTTCTCCTTTATTTAATGCTGGTAAAAGTTCTTTAGGAGTTACTAGGTATTAATAAGGTGTTTTAGTAGTTCCTATATATTTTTACTTTCTAGGTAGTTTTTCTATTTAATTAGGTATATTCTTTATTTATTAATTATATCTATTTCCCTAATTGCCTCTGCTTTATAGACTTCTAGTCTTATAATTTCTTATGGCTTACTGCCTGTTTTAACTTATATTATATCTACTGCTAATTTAAGTAATAAAATGTAAAAGACTAGATAGAGCCTAATTTTTAGTAGTAGGTCTAATTTATAGTTATTTTCTGAAATTTTCTGTAGTACTTTGTAAGGTCTGATAAATTTATAGTCTAATTTGTAAGTTGGTTGGTCTGTTTTGATGTTTTTTATGGCTAAGTAGACTATGTCTCCCTCTGAAAAGGTTAGTCCCTTTAACTATTTTAGGTTATAGTAATTTTTTATGCATTTTCTAATAAATTCAAGTTCTATTTTTATTTCTTTATATAGGTTTTTAAGATTATTGCTTTTAAGTATGGCGGCTAGGTTAACTGATTTTTCTTGTTATATATTATAGTATGTATTTAGTATAAATCCGAAGTTGGTATAAGCTGGTATAAGCTTTATGCTTTTATAGTATGTGGTATTATAGGCGAATTAGGCTATTAGTAGTTTTTTAACCTAATTATTTTATTTATAATTAATATAATACTATAAGTATTATTTAAGTACTTAATTTATTTATTTAGTCTATCTGTTGACTTATAGTTAAAATGCTGTTATAAGTTGATAATTTAGTCTGAGTTATGCCATAAGTGATTGCTAAAATGTTGCTGTAAATATAGGTCCTCTATCTGAAAGGATTTCTATAGGTAACCTATATATGCTAATAATATATCGGTAAAAAATATAAGAAAGTTCTTCTGCATCTATGGATTCTCTGTAGGGTAGGTAGTAAAAGAATTTCGTGAGTTGGTTAACTATAACCATGATGCTGTTATAGAAGATTCTGGTTAAGGGTTCTTCTAATAAGGGTAACTTCGTGATAAAGTCTATTGTGATTAAGTCCTATGGTTATTATACTACTGGTAGTGGTTATAGTTATTTATAAGGTTTATGTCTTTAAGTTTTTATTCTTAAGTATAGGTTATAATGTTTAATAATATCTTCTATGTCCTTCCTTCTGAACTTATATCCTTAGTCCTGAAGTTGTTTAAATGTTTTTGTGACTCCTTGGTGTCTGTTTAAGGGATATAAGTGAAACTCGCGAAGGAAGTTATATTCCTTGTTTAATAAAGGTTCTGTTTTAGTTATCCTTGCGATTATTTTGACTGGTTAAGTGAACTAATATTCTCCCTTGGAGTTAGTTTCTAGGAGCTGTTCCTTTGTTTTAATAGTTCCTGTATTATAGTTGGGTCGTCGGCTAATGGCGTCTATATGTCTATTATCGGTGCCTTTGCAGTAGGCTATAGTAAAATTAAATTTGCATAGGTATTCTGCGTAGCGTAGTTATTGTTGGTTTAGCTCTTGCGTAGTTATAAAGTAAGCTATATTCTTATAGTTAGTAAAGACTTTTACTAGGTATTTACTTCCTCTGAGGTAGTATTTAAACTCCTTAAAGCAGTTAATAATAGCTAGGAATTCTTTATTATAGATAAGATAGTTAAGTTCTACTCTATATATCTTATAAGAATAGAAAGTAATAGGGTGTAATATACTATAGTTATCTTGTTATCCTATTTATCCTCCTAAGGCAAAGTCAGAAGTATTAGTCTTAAGTTTAACTTACTAGTTAGAATTAAATATAACTAGAATAGGTTTACTTATAATAGCTAACTTAAGCTATTTAAAAGCTTATTATGCCTTATTATTTTATTAGAATTATTTATCCTTTTTAGTAATCTTTATAAGAGGGATAATAATTCTACTAAAGCCTTTAATAAATTATTAGTAGTAGTTAGTAAATCCTAGGAAGGATTAGGTTTCTTTTACTAATATTAGGGTTTTCTATTTAATAACTACTATAATTTTTTGCCTATCTATTCTGATTTTATTATATAAGATTTTATATCCTAAGTAGGTTACTTAGGACTAATAGAAGTGGCTTTTGGTGGATTTAATAAGTATATTGGCATCTTATAGTACCTTTA